TCCCATTGAGAACTTGTGGTAATTCCTCAAGAGGCAGGCGGACAAACAAAAACCCACAAATTCTGACAAACTCCAAGCATTGATTATGCAAGAAGGGGCTGCCTTCAGTCAGGATGTGGCCCGGAAGTGAATTGACAGCATGCCAGGGCGGATTGCAGAGGTCTTGAAAAAGAAGGGTCAACACTGCAAATATTGACTCTTTGCATAAACTTAATGTAATTGTCAATAAAAGCCTTTGACACTTATGGAATGCTTGTAATTATACAGTGAGGGAAAAAAGTATTTGATCCCCTGCTGATTTTGTACGTTTGCCCATTGACAAAGAAATGATCAGTCTATAATTTTAATGGTAGGTTTATTTGAACAGTGAGAGACAGAATAACAACAAAAAAATCCAGAAAAACGCAAAAATGTTATAAATTGATTTGCATTTTAATGAGGGAAATAAGTATTTGACCCCTCTGCAAAACATGACTTAATACTTGGTGGCAAAACCCTTGTTGGCAATCAGAGGTCAGACATTTCTTGTAGTTGGCCACCAGGTTTGCACACATCTCAGGAGGGATTTTGTCCCACTCTTCTTTGCAGATCTTCTCCAAGTCATTAAGGTTTCGAGGCTGACGTTTGGCAACTCGAACCTTCAGCTCCCTCCACATATTTTCTATGGGATTAAGGTCTAGAGACTGGCTAGGCCACTCCAGGACCTTAATGTGATTCTTCTTGAGCCACTCCTTTGTTGCCTTGGCCGTGTGTTTTGGGTCATTTTCATGCTGGAATACCCATCCACGACCCATTTTCAATGCCCTGGCTGAGGGAAGGAGGTTATCTCCCAAGATTTGACGGTACATAGCCCCGTCCATCGTCACTTTGATGCGGTGAAGTTGTCCTGTCCCCTTAGCAGAAAAACACCCCCAAGGCATAATGTTTCCACCTCCATGTTTGACGGTGAGGATGGTGTTCTTGGGGTCATAGGCAGCATTTCTCCTCCTTCAAACACGACGAGTTGAGTTGATGCCAAAGAGCTCCATTTTGGTCTCATCTGACCACAACACTTTCACACAGTTCTCCTCTGAATCATTCAGATGTTCATTGGCAAACTTCAGACGGACATGTATATGTGCTTTCTTGAGCAGGGGGACCTTGCGGGCGCTGCAGGATTTCAGTCCTTCACAGCGTAGTGTGTTACCAATTGTTTTCTTGGTGACTATGGTCCCAGCTGCCTTGAGATCATTGACAAGATCCTCCCGTGTAGTTCTGGGCTGATTCCTCACCGTTCTCATGATCATTGCAACTCCACAAGGTGGATGGAGCCCCAGGCCGAGGGAGATTGACAGTTCTTTTGTGTTTCTTCCATTTGCGAATAATCGCACCAACTGTTGTCACCTTCTCACCAAGCTGCTTGGCGATGGTCTTGTAGCCCATTCCAGCCTTGTGTAGGTCTACAATCTTGTCCCTGACATCCTTGGAGAGCACTTTGGTCTTGGCCATGGTGGAGAGTTTGGAATCTGATTGATTGATTGTTACCTGTATAAAAGACACCTGTCCACAGAAGCAAACTGAGATTAGGAGCACTCCCTTTAAGAGTGTGCTCCTAATCTCAGCTCTTTACCTGTATAAAAGACACCTGGGAGCCAGAAATCTTTCTGATTGAGAGGGGGTCAAATACTTATTTCCCTCATTAAAATGCAAATCAATTTATAACATTTTTGACATGAGTTTCTTTATTTTTTTGTTGTTATTCTGTCTCTCACTGTTCAAATAAACCTACCATTAAAATTATAGACTGATCATGTCTTTGTCAGTGGGCAAACATACAAAATCAGCAGGGGATCAAATACTTTTTTCCCTTACTGTACTTCAGTATACCATAGTAACATCTGACAAAAATATCTAAAAACACTGAAGCAGCAAACTATGTGAAGACCAAAACTTTTTACCACGACTGTACACACATATATTCACACACAAATATACATACTACCAGTCAAAAGTTTGGACACACCTACTCATTCAAGGGTTTTTCTTTATTTTTACATTGTAGAATAGTGAAGACATCACAACTATGAAATAACACATTGAATCATGTAGTAACCAAAAAAAGTGTTAAACAAATCAAAATATATTTTATATTTGAGGTTCTTTAAAATAGCCACCCTTTGCCTTGATGACAGCTTTGCACACTCTTGGCATTCTCTCAACCAGCTTCATGAGGTAGTCACCTGGAATGCATTTCAATTAACAGGTGTGCCTTCTTAAAAGTTAATTCGTGGAATTTATTTCCTTCTTAATGCGTTTGAGCCAATCAGTTGTTGTGACAAGGTAGGGGTGGTATACAGAAGATAGCCCTATTTGGTAAACGACCAAGTCCATATTATGGCAAGAACAGCTCATAAGCAAAGAGAAACAACAGTCCATCATTACTTTAAGACATGAAGGTCAGTCAATACAGAACATTAAGAACTTTGAAAGTTTCTTCAAGTGCAGTCACAGAAACCATTAAGCGCTATGATGAAACATCTCAACATCAACTGTTCAGAGGAGACTGTGTGAATCAGGCCTTCATGGTCAAATTGCTACAAAGAAACCACTACCAAAGGACACCAATAAGAAGAAGAGACTTGCTTGGGCCAAGAAACACGAGCAATGGAGTCCAAATTGGAGATTTTTGGTTCCAACCGTCGTGGCTTTGTGAGACGCGGTTTGGGTAAACGGATGATCTCTGCATGTGTGTAAGTCGCTTTGGATAAAAGCATCTGCTAAATGGTATATTCTATTATATTATTATCTCCCACTGTAAAGCATGGAGGAGGTGTGATGGTGGTTTGCTGGTGACACTGTCTGTGATCTATTTAGAATTCAAGGCACACTTAACCAGCATGGCTACCACAGCATTCTGCAGTGATTCACCATCCCATCTGGTTTGGGCTTAGTGGGACTATCATTTGTTTTTCAACAGGACAATGACCCAACACACCTCCAGGCTGTGTAAGGGCTATTTGACCAAGAAGGAGAGTGATGGAGTGCTGCATCAGATGACCTTGCCTCCACAATCCCTGGACCTCAACCCAATTGAGTCGGACTCCAGAGTGAAGGAAAAGCAGCCAACAAGTGCTCAGCATATGTGGGAACTCCTTCAAGACTGTTGGAAAAGCATTCCAGGTGAAGCTGGTTGAGAGGCACATTTAACAGTTAGGCTATTGATTATAGACCTAATTAAGTTGGCGTTTCCTCTCTCCTCACTTTTCTTAGACAATTAAGGCAAGGGCTGTTTGTCATCTCCTAGCTCCGCTGCTGCTTCTGCCGCATTGTTCTCAACACCAATATGCTGGTTAACTTTGCTATTATGCACACACCAACATGGTCTTGGAAAAGGCGCCAATTCAACAGCGCACTGATGTTTCAGAACCGCCGACAGAGACCACTATCTAACGCGAGAGATAGCACATTTGTTATAAAATAATATTTGTATTTGTGTTGCACCATTGTTCTTAAGTAATATAACCATATACAATGTCACTAGCATGTCTTAGACTGATGGACTTTGCCATCCCCACGGCCTCCACAATGGATCAGTCGACTCGGACAGGCACGAATCAGACAGGTGTCTTTTTTTGTTGCTACTGCTCGACTAAAGAAATCTCGGTCGGCCAAAAGCCTATCGACCAAGCAATTGACCAGTCGACTAAATGGGGTCAGCCGTAGTCCGGATTCCCTTTTCCAGCGCTATATTGAAATGCCGGTATTCATTCTGCAAACAGTGGAACACGCTAAATCTGATCATAACACAATATCTTGATGGCAGTAGCCAACTACTGCAGCTGACCTCTGTAACTAGCCAGCAAGCAAAGCTAAAAGGGATTGCAAAAAGGTTAGCATAACTCTAGCCAAACAAAAACTAGCTAGCTGGCTAGGATTTATGAAGCCAGCAAACACGTTCCTCACACACTAGGAAGGCATTTCCTCCAACGTTTAATGAAAAAAGGTGCCTCTTGCTCCCAAAAACGTTTTCTGGAAACTTGTGGGCAAAGTGCTGATGACTTCGCCCACTGTATGCGCCTTGACTGCATCTAGACCTAAGGAGAAATCCGCATACAATGCGTCCCTGACCACCTCCTGAAGTGGTCAGCCAGATCTGAACACAATCCAACCACAATGCGACTTGTGTCTAGACCAGTCTTTTCAATGCGATCTTCACATTTTGATAGCAGAAGTCGTACGTAAGTGACACGGTAGACATTTAAATGTAGATGCATGACGTGTCCGCAATTCCATGATCAGAACTCCATGATCAGAATACAAAAGCTGCATGAACTGTCAAGTCTAGACACTGCCTCAGACACGTTCTCCAGTGGGCCATCTGGGAGCCGGGAGCGGTGCCCCAGAGACACGGCATAAGAAATGCCCAGGAAAGGTGCATCAGACGCTGGGTTACAGGTCGTCGCTGGGGCCATCCTTGATCATGTATACAGTGCGTTCATAAAGTATGCTGACTCCTTGACTTTTTCCACATTGTTACATTACAGCCTTATTCTAAAATTGATTAAATAAAACAATGTCCTCTATCTACACACAACACCCCATAATGACAAAGTGAAAACAGATTTATATTTTGCCCCCTAGAATGGATAGGCATATTGTGCCTGACATACGTTAGCATGGAAGAGGCTAGAAAACATAAAAATAAATAAGCCCCATTTGCTCTTAATCTACAGAAAAATGTGTTAATTCTTACTCATATGGAATAATAACATCCTTACATATGGGTTTTTTTGTAAATAAAAGGTGCAAATATCCTGTATTATGATCCTTTATTTTATTTCTCCACTCAATGAGATGGAAATCAAAATCTTACTCTGTATCATGATGCTCAAACATGTTTTAATATACTATTTGTACAAAATCTGGTATATAGAAAGTGTCTTAAATAAGAGTTATGGGGGGCAGCTACAGCTATTAACTTTTCTATGCCAACATTTGTTAACCACTAGTTTTACTGCTCGAGACAGAGTAACAATGGCTTTATAGAAACAGTTTATTTACTAACACATACATGAACAAAGCACCATATAAACATAAAGACTAATACAGAAGTAACCCTACCTGCCTTGCGAGTCAATGTGGCCATTTTCTTTTTTTCATAGCAAACACTCCATATAACAAAAAAGACAGTTTAGGTAGCAGATTCTTATATTACAGCATGCTGAATAGAAAACCTGCGTAAGACAAATCAGACAGAGCCATCTAGAGACACTAGTGAGATGACAGTGTAAAAGTGCCATTCATTATACAGCAGTTGAAATACTGACAAGTAAGTAAATAGCACATTTTACATAATTAAAATAATAAAAAATACAAGAGGGGAGGGGTTTTTAAGGAGTAGACCAATGAGAGCAAAATTAAACAAAAAACTTAAAGACAACCAAGACGTTGAAGATCGGGTTATTTTGATTCGATGGTGAAACCGGTGCTGTGCCGTGTCCCTCGCACCATAAGACAAGTAATACAGCTAAAAGGAAGTGGCCGGGGTGCTACGGCACCCATTTCCTCCCAGCACCCACCACACGCCAGCCCAGCGGTTAAGAACAAAAAAAAAAGGGGTAGGTCAGAGGAGAAGAGGATGGCACAGAATGCCTGTCAAAGTTTTATATAGAAGTCCTTATAAGCAAGTCCCGATGTGAGAGGGGCACATTCATTGAGAAACAGAGGGGCGGTGATCCGCGTTTGACCCATTCCTTCTGCCAAAGCCGAACAGAGTCTTCACCCTTATGAAGGGGAGAATTTTTTGGCCTGTGCTCGAACTCTTTTTTCATATTCTACTCTGTTTTGGCTGAAAACAAGAGAGGGGTTTAGTAAAACAACAATGATCGGAATCTAGTGTTACATCCACCATATCCCTATCCAAAAACAAGACTACAATCGGGAAGGAATCCCCTCGATACTAGCAGGACTCACCAGTAAATTGTGTATGCCTCTGCTTGGGCTGGATCCTGGATATTTGGCTCATTTAAGAGTTCCTGTATTCCTAATAGGATCTGTAAGACATGACAATACATAAAGATCATGTTAGTTGGGCATAGCCATTTGGTGGCTATAGTTTGTAAGTCGATCACCAGTATCAGTGGTCTAAGGCACTGCATCGCAGTGCAAAACTGTGCCACTAGATCCTGGTTCGAATCCAGGCTCTGTCGCAGCCGGCCGCGACCGGGAGACTCATGGGCGGCGCGCAATTGGCCCAGCGTCGTCCAGGGTAGGGGAGGGAATGGCCGGCAGGGATGTAGCTCAGTTGATAGAGCATGGCGTTTGCAACGCCAGGGTTGTGGGTTCGTTTCCCACAGGGGGCCAGTATAAAAAAATAATAATAATATGTAAGTCGCTCTGGATAAGAGCGTCTGCTAAATGACTAAAATGTAAATGTAATGATGTAATGTATCTCCTAACCTGCTTGATGGTGATGGCTGGTCGCCAGTCCTTGTCTTCCTCTAGAATGGAGAGGCATACTGTGCCGGACGGATATACGTTAGGATGGAAGAGCGGAGGCTCAAATTTACCTATAAAATAGAAAAAAACGAGGGAATCAGTAAGGGGAAAATAGGTCATGAGATAAGTTCTAAGTCCTGTTCCAATACATCCTTCCTACCTTTGTGATCACCTGATCTGATATGACTGAAAATGTGAGGGGAAAAAAGAAACTCACACTTTGGGGGCGAGGAAGGATAGTCATCCTTGAACAGCATCCGCAGTTTGAACAAGCCTCCTTCCCATGGGGTCTGGGGATGAGTCACACGTGTTTATAATGGATCACAAACACTTGGACTATGTGAGGGTCAAGGATGAGCTATGACCCCATCCTAGAATTCTTTGGTTTCATACAAGATGTCCACTTCTTAGTGTTGGTGTATGCAACTACTACATATGCAGGTGCAAAACATTTCCTCTCAATGATCTACTACCAACTATGCACAGATGGAGTGCTATAAACAATGACTATTTGAAACTGTATTGCATGTGTAGAGAAATGGCTGTACTTACCCCCTTCTTCCCAGGAATGGCACATTCCCAGTTCATCAAGTTCATAGTTCCATCTGGGTTTTTCGTCGGAACAGCCACAAAGCCCTGAGAAAGAGGTGCATCAAACAGTATAACAGAGTGAGATGAAGCAAAAAGAAATAAACATCAATGGGGCCATGCATTATAATGCTGAAACATGAGGTGATGGCGGTGGATGAATGGCACAACAATGGGCCTCAGGATCTCGTCATGGTATCTTTATGCATTCAAAATACCATCGATAAGACGCAATTGTGTTAGTTGTCCGTAGCTTATGCCTGCCCATACCATAACTCCACCATGAGGCACTCTGTTTACAACGTTGACATCAGCAAACAGCTCTCCCACATGACGCCATACACGTGGTCTGCGGTTGCGAGGCCAGTTGGACGTAGGACGATTACAGTGACCGTATTACCGCCACACCTGCGGTCACGAGTCATGACCGCAGTCAAATTCCAAGTGACCGTTTAGTCCCGGGTTCCCCAAGCTCGGATGCTGCTGATGGCCCTCTAATTACTCTGACATTAATGCAAACGTAATCGAAAATCAAATCAAAACACTTCATGAGAGCCCATGAGCTCATGTTGCGCAACATTTTCTATAGGCTATGTAATTGAAAAGAGTTGATGGCCTCTATTAAAAAGAGGATCCCATCAACTTTCTATAGGCTAGGCCTACTATATATTTTTCTCAACTTTCGTAATATCAAGCATATTGCTTTGCTGTACAACAGGAGTATAACCTACCTGGCTGGCATGAAAATGAGCCACGGGAAAAGCGTCCTCCATTTGCTATTTAAGTGCATAGATGACATGTATTTTTTTCTCCTGCCCCTGTTGTTTCGAGACAGGTGCATGATAATGATCCATTCTAAATCAAAACTAATTTCACACATATATTATTTAGTATATGTAAAGACATGATTAAATTAAGAATAGTCTGATTGGTGACTATTAGCCTATCACCACTTGTGAATGATGCCCAACGTGTAGCGTCGCTGCAACTTCCCATCGGACTCGGGAGGCGAAGGTCGAGTCATGCGTCCTCCGAAACATAACCCGCCAAACCGCGCTTCTTAACACCCGGCCCCTTAACTCGGAAGTCAGCCGCACCAACGTGCCGAGGAAACACTGTTCACCTGATGACCGAGGTCAGCCTGCAGGCGCCCGGCCCGCCACAGGGAGTCGCTAGAGCACGATGAGTAAAGCCCCCCCGGCCAAACCCTCCCCTAACCCGGACGATGCTGGGCCAATTGTGCGCCGCCCTATGGGACACCCGATCACGGCCGGTTGTGATACAGCTCGGGATCTAACCCGGGTCTGTAGGGACGCCTCTAGCACTGCGATGCAGTGCCTTAGACCGCTGTGCCACTCGGGAGGCCCAGGCCCCTATATGTTTTGACAAGGTTTGTATCACAATTAAAGTGGCCAAATAACGACTTAAAATTAAGCACATTCATCCACTTTACAACCGGTGTAGAGCGTAACTGGCATTCATAGGCGGCGCGTGATTTTCAAGTTTGGAGAATGCTCCTTTACAATAAAGCATTACATGCATAATCGCATTTGCGGTCACTTTTGAGAATGGTGTTTTCCCGCTAACTGATTGCATTTTGGAACATTTGCGCTTATAGCCTACTGCCATGTGCGCATTGCTGCGCTTATAATGTGAAGAAATGGCCGAATAGTTAATCAACATTTTAAGCTAAACGTTCTGATCTGTTGCATCAGCCACATTGCTTTTAAAAGTTTGAGATGCCAGTGGTTGTATTAATTTGGGATCTATGGCATCACAACTGTCCCAGAGTATGTTTGGAATATTTATTTATTGCACAGAAGGACAAGTTGACCAATAGAATAGGTAAACTTTTGTACTATGGGGGATATTAGATTGACATAGGCTAGTGTTTTTGCTGTTCGTTAGGCCTACTCATCTTGTTGGCTGATGAAAAGTAAATGTAGACAGTTATAACATGTTCAATATGCTCGTCGGAATTCAATAAGACGATGTGTCGGTCTTCACTTGTAGCCTACTTTGGAGCGGCGATGCCTGTGACAAGGATCTGATCACGTGACGGGCATTGGCTAATCGGAATTGAGATATCAGAGAGCCATGTGCGTGAGGTGCTTGGCAGCCGGAATTATAATTATTATATTCAGCCCAAGGGCATAACGGCCATTTTGACCGCAAAATGCATGGATTTTTGTAAGGGGCATTACAGCCACACAAGGGGGATGCTGCCAGGAAATTTGAGGCCTGGTGAGAATATTATCAAGTGCTTGTCAAAATGTGAATGAGAGACTGATGAAGTGTGTACAGCCTGCACAAGAAACAAAGCAGAGCTCATGCCTTTCATGCAACCTTTTTCAAATCAGTCACATCATGCATCCTTAGAATCTATTTTAAAAATCTAAACATAGGGCGCAGCGGTCTAAGGCACTGCATCGCAGTGTTGCGGCGTCACTACATTGTGCTCTAGCGACTCCTTGTGGCGGGCCGGGCACCTGCAGGCTGACTTCGGTCGTCAATTGAACAGTGTTTCCTCCGACACGTTGGTGCAGCTGGCTTCAGGGTTAAGCGAGCGGGTGTTAAGAAGCGCAGTTTGCCGGGTCATGTTTCGGAGGACGCATGACTCGACCTTCGCCTCTCCCAAGCCCGTTGGGGAGTTGCAGCGATGAGACATTGGGGAGAAGAAATTTAAAACAAACTAAAATTGCATAAATAACTCTAAATTAAGCATATAGGAGGACCTGTTTCTTTGTTACGCATGACTGTAAGTCGCTTTGGATAAAAGCGTCTGCTAAATGGCATATTATTATTATTAACAACCGCTCAATACAGAACAGTCGCATGTGCGCACTCCCTCTGAAATTGTTTGGGGAAAAATACAGTTTCTATTTTATTCAGCTATGTTCAATTGTATTGTTCTTACTACAAAAGAATGCCACGGGACTTATAAGCAAATATTGTCTGCTAAATGAACTAGTGTAGCCAGATCAGGGCCTAACATAAGGACAACGCAGAGTATGCTATTCTGTTCTTCTGAAATGGACTACATTTCCTTCATGTCATGTTTCTTTAGACCCATCTAAAATAGATTTGTGATGGTGTAGTCCATATTAAAATGATTTATTAGACTTTTTCAAATGTAGATGTTCTAAAAAGGTCTGCATCAGTGGCTTGTAGGCTATGCATGGACGCCAGGAGATGCTAAACGTGTTTGTTAATTAATGGTAAATTACCGTGAGACCGGCAGTTATTCGCTTGACAAAATGTCATGACCGCCACAGCCCTAGTTGGACGTACTGTAAAATTCTCTAAAACGACGGAGGCCAATTGCACGCTCCCTCAACTTGAGACATCTGAGGCATTGTGTTGTGTGACAAAACTGCACATTTTAGAGTGGCTTTTTATTATCCACAGCACAAGGTGCACCTGTGTAATGATCATGCTGTTTAAATTAGCTTCTAGATAATCCATCCACCTGTCAGGTGTGGCATATCTTGGCAAAGGAGAAATGCTAACTAACAGGGATGAAATACACATTTGTACACAACATTTGTGCTTATGGAAAATTTCTGGGATCTTTTATTTCAGCTCGTCAAACATGACCAACACTTTACATATTGCGTTCATATTTTTGTTCAGTGTGTGTGTGCGTGCTTACACACAAACACACTACCAGTCAGAAGTTTGAACACACCTACTCCTTCAATGGTTCTTTATTTTTTACATTGTAGAATAATAGTGAAGACATCAAAACGATGAAATAACATGGAATCATGTAGTAAACTAAAAAGTGTTAAACAAATCAAAATATATTTGCAATTTGAGATTCTTCAAATAGCCACCCTTTGCCTTGATGACAGCTTTGCGCACTCTTGGCATTCTCTCAACCAGCTTCATGAGGTAGTCACCTGGAATGCATTTCAATTAACAGGTGTGCCTTCTTAAAAGTTAATTCGTGGAATTTATTTCCTTCTTAATGCGTTTGAACCAATCGGTTTTGTTGTGCCAAGAAGATAGCTCTATTTGGTAAAAGACCAAGTCCATATTATGGCAAGAACAGCTCAAATAATAAGAAACGACAGTCCATCATTACTTTAAGACATGAAGGTCAGTCAATACGGAACATTTCAAGAACTTTGAAAGTTTCTTCAAGTGCAGTCGCAAAAACCATCAAGCGCTATGATGAAACTGTCTCTCATGAGGACCGCCACAGGAATGGAAGACCCAGTTACCTCTGCTGCAGAGAATAAGTTCATTAGAGTTACCAGCCTCAGAAATTGCAGCCCAAATAAATGTTCAGAGTACAAGTCACAGACACATCTCAACATTAACTGTTCAGAGAGGACTGTGTGAAATCAGGCCTTCATGGCCGGATTGCTACAAAGAAACCACTACTAAAGGACACCAATAAGAAGAAGACTTGCTTGGGCCAAGAAACACGAGCAATGGACATTAGACCGGTGGGAATTTGTCCTTCGGTCTGCAGTCCAAATTGGAGATGTTTGGTTCCAACCACTGTGGCTTTGTGAGACGCGGTGTGGGTGAACAGATGATCTCCACATGTGTATTTCCCACCGTAAAACATGGAGGAGGTGGTGTTATGGTGTGGGGGTGATGGTGACACTGTCCGTGATTTATTTATAATTCAAGGCACACTTAACCAGTATGGCTACCACAGCATTCTGCAGCGATACGCCATCCCATCTGGTTTGGGCTTAGTGGGACTATCATTTGTTTTTCAACAGGACAATGACCCAACAAACCTCCAGGCTGTGTAAGGGCTATTTGACCAAGAAGGAGAGTGACGGAGTGCTGCATCAGATGACCTCCACAATCCCCCGACATCAACCGAATTGAGATGGTTTGGGATGAGTCGGACCGCAGAGTGAAGGAAAAGCAGCCAACAAGTGCTCAACATATGTGGGAATTCCTTCAAGACTGTTGGAAAAGCATTCCAGGTGAAGCTGGTTGAGATAATGCCAAGAGTGTGCAAAGCTGTCATCAAGGCAAAGGGTGATTATTTGAAGAATCTCAAATATATTTTGATTTGTTTAACACTTTTTTGGTT